TTGATCTGCCATTATCCAATAGAATTGCAACTGCCTAGGTTTGTAATGTGTCTTTTTTATAATTTTGCAAATTTTAATTAATTGACATTTGTTTCTGTTCCATGCTAAGTTGTAAAGATGATAACAGTGTTAGTCATGACAGTATTACGTTATATTTGGACAAAGTCTGCCAGATAATTCTGGCTTGATTTGATGCTTTGGACTGTTTAATCCTTCCCAAGGATATATAATAGCAATATATTAACTGTTCCACTTAATGTAACATTTTGCAATTATGAGTTATCCATTCCTATAGTGTCCAAATGCTTTCCAGACCTTTTGTTGTTATGGTTGGTCACACAGTCAATCAGATTAGGCATTTTACCACATATTGACTATTTCCTGAGGATCTGGTAAATATTGTTTGATGGTGTTGCTTTTTATTTTTGTTGTATGACAACCAAATTAGAATAGTAGTATTCTTACTATTATTAGAAAATTGACATTTGACTCCAAAGCTTGTGGTAAGACTATCATGTGTTTTAAATGGTAGTATACTCATGAATTGCAGTAGAAAGAAGCAGATTTAGAAATGGAAGGCATGTAGTGTGAAAAAAAACCTTAATAACACAGTCACAACATTGTTTATATTCAAAGCTTTATTATCGTAATGTTAAAAAGAATTCTTAATATACTATCATTACCATCATGCTGCAAATATGATGATGGATAGCCACTGAAGGAAGAACAGCTGGCCTAAAATCATTTAGTGAGATAGTTAGAACAAATAATTTCCTAATAGTATTTCTGAGTCTTAACTATCAAGCAACATGTCAGAAATTATTTAACTATGACCAACCAGTTTATTAGCAAATAAAACTGTATCTATTAGTGGAACAGATTTGTATCTTTTTGCAATAGCCTGACTAGCAAATCAACTGTATATGTTACAAGATCTTCTGCAATTGAAGGAGGTGCAGGAAGAAAGCATAGATGTGAGAACTGTCTTGCTGTTTTATGCAGTTTTATCAGCCCATTGGGAAGGATAAGATTAGGCAACTTGATTGGAACTGTGCTTTATTGATACAGGCTATTGTTACAAACTCTTGAAAGTCTAACAGCATTTTTCCTTCCCCTCTCTTACACTCAGCCATTATGTTTTCTCCTTTTTTAATGCATGCACATGCACTCCCACATTAAATTTAAAAATGTATAGTCAGTCATGGCAATAGACAGTAAGATTAGGTTAGATTAGGACTGGGGAAACTATATTCTGCCATGGAAATACTCGGGGAGGCTTTGGGTCAATTATTTTGTCTTGGATCAATCAATCTTATAGTTGTGAATAAAAAAACCCGGAAAGAGTGAATTATATTTATGTCTTCAGTTTTTAGAATAGCATTTTAGAAATCTAACAAACAAATACATTGCTGTAGCATTGAAAGATGTAGAACATACATGTAGATCTGGACATCTATTTAAACAATTTCTTGTAAATTGCTGGGATGCTATATTGTCCAGATAATATATTAGCAACTTCAACATTTAAAAAATTCAAAATCATAGTCTGAGTACTTACATTTGGGTTTTGATCCCACATTGCTATTCTGAAAGGAAATATTGAATTAAAGAAAATGAATGTGTGGGGATGTGTGGATATGTGTATACATACATACATACACTTCATAATACAGTACAAAATTTTTTAAAAAAAAAAACTTCAGTAGATAAATTGTATGCTAAGTGAATGGTGAAATTATATTAAGGAAATTTAAAAGTGTGATTTATAGTAAGCAAGTAGATCTAGAGAGAATCTGTACAATTACACAAGTCTGTTTCTGACTTGGATAATTTTTGATTAACTCTTAACTTGGAGGAATAATTTATTATTTATGTATTCAGTATATTCTGGTGGATATTAAACAAACTAAAGGATGAATTTTTTTTTCAAATATTATGGACGATAATCCAGTGATTATGTGGATTTTAATAGAGTTTGAGGGTTTTCTTTCTCCTTTAGTATCATTTGAAATTTTATGCTGAATAAACGTTTACTCTCCTATCCTTTAATTCTCAGTCCTGGATCACTTGTCAGATTTGTCCTGAGTGTATACTAGAGGTTACACCCACTTTTAATTGGTATGTTCTTTCATGGCTTTTTTTCAGAACAGATTATATATTATCACATGCCAGCAACTCTTATTGCTTCAAAATCTGCAGTTTAAATGGTCACCAGAAATGCCATTTATGATTATTTCAATGATCCTGTATGTTGAATAAACATTTGAATTGAATTGTCTTATTATAATATTGGGCTTCATTTTCTATAAGCTAAGTCAAAGAAGCAACAATTTAAACACAATAATTTACTTTCGCTTTAGTAGTAGGTGAATTTTATAAACACATAGCTTCTTTCTTAACAATTTCTTATAATTATAGGTCTTAGGGAAAATGCTTTGATTTGAAGGAATATGATGTGTTTTGTCAGAGGAAGTAAACATTTAAAACTAAGGTTGATACTTCAGGGTGCCTTAGTAAGATGCAAGTAAAGTGTTTGTTTAACTCAGAGGATTATTGGATCTTTCATTAGGTACTTATGTGATGACTGTCACTGCTATTGATGCTGATGATCCCAATGTTTTGAATGGAATGCTGAGATACAGAATCTTGTCACAAGACCCAACCACCCCTTCTCCAAATATGTTTACAATCAACAATGAAACAGGTGACATTATCACAGTTGCAGCTGGACTTGACAGAGAGGTGAGAAGGACTAACATAACACATTTTAAATTTGTCTTACATGAGTAGCTGATTATGAATCTATACTAAGAGGTTGAAAAAATAATTGATATTTCATTTCCTCTTCCTCCCCCCCCCCCTCTCTCTCAATGTAGATATAGATATTTTAACATAATTTTAGCTTGTTTCTGGTTTCATCTTAGGACAAGGAAGTCATATGATGGGCTTGGTTCCTTTTTGGACCCTGTGATTTTCTGGAATCTCAGAATGCACTGATTTTGTGTAACAAATTGCCCAAAATACAGTCCACCATCCCTACCATCCTTGTATGCATGTATGGAAAATAAAGAAACCGTGTACAATAACTTTTTATGCATTTTTATTCAAGCAACCACCATTGTATAGCTTAATGAGAAAAAAAAGCAACCATATCCCCATAACAAGCAGGGTTGTCTCCCCCAACGTCCATAAATCAGATCATGATTACCATTTATTTCTCTTCTCCCACAGACATAAAAAATAATCTTCAGAATAGAAAAAATGTATCTCTTACTGAACTTTTTCATTCATTTATCAATCAGTCAATCTGTATAGCTTCCCATCTGAAACCAATGACTCTGGATGATAAATAATCATAAAAGCAAATAAAATAATTAAAACACAATACCAAAAAAATACAAATAACGAGATATTATGATCTGTTGGTGTAAACATAGCTAAGAAATAGAGCTCTTCACACATGTACCCAGACCTATACCCAGACACATAGCTAGGTCTGATAGGCCAACAGGTTCAGGGCCATCCTATCCCAGGTGCAGAGATTATGACAGAAAAGGTGTGTCTCCCAATCCCTGCCAGGTGACATTTCTTGGTTGATGGGACCTGGATCTTGCCGGACTGGATTAGACAGGTAGAAGCAACTAGGAGAGCATAGTCCGTCAATTAACTCAGTCTCAAGCCATGAAAGGCTTTAAAAGTGACAACCAGCATCTTGAATTGCACCCAATTCTGACAACCAATATAACCTATGGAGATGATAGTATAATCAATTTAAACTAATTACATTTAAACATTATTTAAATAACTTGATTTCCCTTAAACATAGACACTCAGTAGGGCATTTTAAAAAACTTTATAAAAAAGTAACATTTTTTTATATTACTTTAAGAAATGAAAGAAATGAAATACATTAAAACTTCATTATAAAAAGTTGATTTTCCAGAAATGGTATTTTTTCTTAAAAATATATAGCAATTTTAGCTATATCAATAAATGATAGTAAACATGGCCATAACATTGTAAAGCAACATCAAAAACACCTATCTTTATTAGTTTCCTTCTTGGAAGAAGTGAACTTTAGGTATTAATAACTCTATATCAGTTCAAGAAGTTCTGGGATTGCTTAATCCTATTTTTTAAATATTGTGGAAAATAATATTTTTAATAACTGATAATGCCTCATATCAGATATATTCCCAAGAAGTTGCCAGTAGCTACATCATAAAATTAATTATTAATTCATTTAAAATAATAAAATGCATTAAATTATTTTCAAACAATTTAATTCCTGAAACAAGAGAATTCCTCTTAGGGAAGAATGTGTTCCTCTGCCTTTGGCTTCATTCCAGTAGTGTTTTAAGAACAGACTTTCCCACCTCCAAAAGCTCTTTTTTGACAAAGCAAAAAAGAAGCTAGCTGTGCTGTTGACAAAGAAAAGCTATCTAGTTCCTAATGTTTAACATTAATCAAATAATTTAGTTTGGGTTTCTCTTTTGGGGACTAGTTTCTGCTATTCTTGCCTCCACTGGTTTCCATAGTGATATGGAGAAGTTGTTGCCACCGTTACTCTCCAGTTCTCCACCACAGAGCCTTGGCATTTTGAATCATTTGCCAAGAATGTGCCCTCCCAAGCTTAGTTCTTATGAGCCTTTAAGAAAAAGATACTAAAGCCCAACCTACTTTATTTTTGTCTGTTGTCCAGCATTTGTGTTTTTAAAAACAAAAAATATATTTTTAAAAAGTGCCTTTCAATTGATTGTTGCCTGCTATTAAAAAAGCTAGTGTTAGATATAGTTTTTCCCCACTTAAAAGCTACCAAATAAAGCAAAAAAACAGTGCTTTGGGATTTTAGTGTTGTTCATTCTTCTTGATTAGTACAAGTCCAATCTCAGTTTAAGTGATATTAATAGGAAGACCAATGTGATAAATACACTGCAATACACAAAAATGACTTTATTGAATACTTGTTATCCCCTTGGAATGCTGGCTTTATCTATAACTGCTCTTGATGTCTTGTATTGGTGGTTTTTTTAGAAAGTACAACAGTATACATTAATAATTCAAGCTACAGATATGGAAGGAAGTCCAACATATGGTCTTCCAAATACGGCAACTGCTGTCATCACAGTAACAGATATCAATGACAATCCCCCAGAGTTCACCGCCATGATTGTAAGTATGCAGTAAGGAAAAGGGATGTTGAATGTGAATAGTTTTTGCTTGCTTGCTTATTAAACTACTTGCCTGCTTATTAAACTAAATGCATTGAATATGTTTCTGACTTATGAGAACTTCAATTCCATATTTGCATCTTCTCTACATCAATGGAGCCAAGCTGTATTTGCCATTCAGCCATTAAAGTCAGACTATCTGGCCAAGCTCAGGAAGACTGGTCTAGCTCATTAGAGTCAGAGGGAGACGTTACTTCTTTTAAAATGTCAACTAATATTCCCAAATACAGTATTTCTGAATGAAGATAATAATTTAGGATTTTCAGTGCTTCAATAAAGAATGATGTAATAATATTTCAAGGATACCAAGCTGACATTTGTACATAAGTATGTGTGCTTTATATTTTTAGTTCTATGGCGAAGTTCCTGAAAACAGAGTGGATGTTATAGTAGCTAATTTAACTGTGACAGATAAAGATCAACCACACACACCTGCTTGGAATGCAGTATACAGAATGACAGGTGGCGATCCCACAGGCCGGTTTACCATTCTTACTGATCCAAATAGCAATGACGGGTTGGTAACTGTTGTGAAGGTATGTATATTTATTTATTTATTTATTTATTTATTTAGTCAAACAATTATTAGATAACAGGTATAAGTATAAACATGGTTATAAATACATGAAATGGATATGAATAAGAAAAAAAAGAAACAATAGTACAGGGACGGTAGGCACGTTTTGGTGTGCTTATGCATGCCCCCTACAGACCTCTTAAGAAAGGGGGAAGGTCAATAGTAGACAGTTTTTGGGGTTTGGGGAAGAAACCAGAGTCAGGTAGAGTATTCCAGACATTGACCACTCTGTTGCTGAAGTCGTATTTCCTGAAATCAAGTTTGGTGCGGTTTATCTTTAGTTTCTATCTATTTTGTGCTCTTGTATTGTTATGGTTGAAGCTGAAGTATTCATTGATAGGTAGGACATTGCAATATATAATTTTATATGCTATTTGTCAAGTTAAGTATGAACAGATATAGGGCATTGACTACTGAACTAGCTCCTGTTGTTAAATAAGAAAAATAATTAAGGGTAGATTTATTTAAATACAAATATTTTGAAAGGCAAAAATTATCTGTTCAAAGCCTCAGTATATGCACTTGTGACACTAGTGTACAATGGTTGTGTTTAAAGAACCTAGCTAATTTGTTCAAAGGAACTTATTCCACAGTATATATCAAAATTACTGTAGAAGGTTCTGTGGAACTGATTTTAAAAATTAAAATACTAAATAGTCTAAATTGCTTGATGTTCAACTTTCTTTGTTCTTTTCCCAATTGACTAAATAATATTTTCAAACTAAAAGCAGCTTAAACGCTTCAATACTTTTGTCAAATATATTTAATTAAATATTATTACAATGCTACTTTGCAATTCAGCTTAGGATTATTTCTACATAATTTAGTTCAGGACTATTTTTACATAAAAGAAAGTGGCCAAGTTGAACTAGCTCAAATCTACATATTAAAAAATCTGGTAAGAGTTATGTTGTACATTTTTTTAATTTGCAACAAATGGACTACATCAATGATTTCAAAAAAGTTTAGAGCACAAAACCTATTAATTAAAAATTATAAAAACTCTAATCTAAAAAGTGGCATCCATGGCTCTATTCACTGATTCACCATTTTTATTGTACTTTAGAAAAATAGCTAAGAATAACCTTGTATTCAACTGAACTTTTTAATTTAATTTAAGTTGAATAGCTATTAAGAAATAGCCACATAGCAAAACACATAACTAGCAGCCAATTGTTGCCGATCAACAGTTAACATAACCATCTCACGGGTTCTGACAATCCAACTCCAGAGGTGGTTTCAACCGGTTCATACCTATTCGGATGAACCGGTAGCGGTTATTTGGCATGGGTCGCCAAACCAGTGGCGACCCCTGGCTGGCCATGCCCCAACCTGGTTGCCCAGTCGCTCACTTGCCCCGATCACTCTCCTAGCTTTCCATTCCCCACATCCTCTTTCTACCCCGGGAAAAGGAAAAAAGGCATCGCTTTCCCCTTGTGAGATAAAAGTGCCTGGAATGAGAGGGAGTGCAGGCTGACAGAGGGGGTGGGGGTGATTCCAGCCTTGGAGCACTTTTGCAACGTAAAAGAAATGCATTTTGAAGCAGGTTCTTTAAAAACTTCTCCAAGGATTCCCCATGGACACTGCAAGTATTGCTTTCCCCTTGTGAGTTAAAGTGCCTGGAGTGAGAAGGAGTGCAGTCTGACAGCAGGGGTGTGGGAATCCACTCCAGCCTTGGAGAAATTTAAAGGAGCTGCTTCAAAATGCATGTCCGTTAAACTACAAAAGTGCTGTGTGTGTGTGTGTGTGTGTGTGAGAGAGAGAGAGAGAGAGAGAGAGAGAAAGAGAGAAGAAAAGAAAGAAAGAAAGAAAGAAAGAAAGAAAGAAAGAAAGAAAGAAAGAAAGAAAGAAAGAAAGAAAGAAAATAGGAAGAGAGAGAGAGAAAACTCTGCTATTATTTTTGATTGTTCCATTATTTATCATGTATTAATATTTTACACTGTCCCTACACCTAGAGTGATTTTTCTGCCTTTCTTTTGCCCAGGGCTACCACATATTTTTCAGGGTTTACATGCATTCAATGTCAATAGTCCAGAGCATAAAATACGCATGTGTTTAACAAGAGTTGAAAGGGACCTTGTAGTCCAACCCCCAGCTCAGGCAAGAAAACTGAGGTTGCCAAACTGAGTAGAGATCCTGGGAAAAGTGTCAGAATAACAGAATAACACTTAGAAGGGACCTTGGGGTGAACTCTATACCATTTCAGATAAATGGCTGTCCAGTCTTTTCTGAAAAACTTCCAGTGATTGAGCACCCAGAACTTCTGGAGAGAGGCAGTTCCACTGGTTAATTGTTCTCACTCACAGGAAGTTTCTCCTTAGTTTTAGGTTGCTTCTCTCTGTTCAGCTTCCATCAATTGCTTTTTGTTTGCATTCTGCTTCTTTGGAAAATACATTGTCCCCCTTTCTTTGTGGCAGCTCCTTAAAAGCCTGTTGCCTATCACACTGTTGGGTAAAGCATGTGAGCCATTTCTTCCTTTCAGTGGTCCATGAAAGTACATCTATAGTATGCAGATAATAAAGTCAAAAAAGGTGAACATTTTTACAGAATAAGTTGAGGCTGGGCGACAAGGAATGGCTGGGAGGGAAGAGGCCAGGTGAGGCACCCCTTGATGTGAGTGACATTGAGTTTGTCACGCCCACCCAGTCACATGACCACTGAGCACACCCACACAGTCATATGACCACCAAGCCATGGCCACCTGGTCACATGACCACCAAGACACGCCCACCAAATAAGCCACGCCCACAGAACCGGTAGTAATCCCACCACTGTCCAACTCCTATACTTAGACACACAACCCTGTCTTCATAGCTTTGCAAATGTCTTGCATGATCAAGACCAATGTAATCTAGGTCATAATGTTTCAAAGTGTAAGCACCACAAAGAAAATATTCTTTTTGGGGTTTTCACAGGAATAAATTTCTTAACCAACAGGACCAGTAGTATGTCTCTCCTGCCAATCTAATGGGAAGGGTTCAAGTGTTTGGAAAGAGACAAATAAACCATCTCAGTGCTGTGAAGGGCTTTTCGGGTGACCCACCAGCATCTTGAGATTAACCCAGAAACATACCAGTAGCTGATTCTTGTCACACAAGAGAGGTATTACACTGAACAGTTCTCAAACTGTACTCACAGCACCACATTTTTGAAGCAGCTACAGTTCCCACAGGCTCTTCAAGAGCAATGGAATGTAAAACACATTGCAGAGTTGACTATGGCATGATTGTGTGCCAGAGCCATGTAGTTTTGCTAGGGTTAAGTAGGAGCCTGTTCTTCCCCATTCAAATTCTTACAGTCTCCACACACCAAAAAATACCTCCACTGCATCAGTTAGTTGGCTTAGGGTGGAATTACAATGTGATATGTCTTCCCTATTGTTGGATGATCTCATCCATCAGCTATAGATGTCATGGTACACTGGGGTTCCACATAACATAGTTTGAAAAACTATTTAATTTATAAATGTCAGAATTCTGATTGAGAATAGTGGATTTTAATCTATTTGTTGCTTTATGAGTCTGACTTGATTTGCAATTGATAAAATTAATTACATTAATTTTTAATTTTAATTAATTAATTTTTAATATGTAGCCAATTATGTTATTTAGGATCAAACTATATGTGCAAGCAGCAGATTAATTTGTTTTAAAATCTCTCCACTGAGTATAAATCTGCAGGTACAAACATAATGTAATAGAAAAGTAGTGGCATCATATGGAGAATTGGATCAATTATCTCTGCAATATGAACTTCCCATGGTCTCTTCCTTTCCCCCCCCATTTGGGATCACTGCTATTAGCTTGCAGTTGAAATAAAAACGGAGGGTTTTTTTTACTTCCTTCAAGTTTGCAGTTGAAGTAAAAATGGAGTTTAAGAGATAGACTTCAAAGTGGTCTCATGATGCCTCATAATGTTTTTAAAATCATTCTCATCTGTTTAAATATGATGTGCCAAACTTACCTTTAAACAAATACCACACTTATGAAGATTGCTACATCAGAGATATTCAGTAACCTTAGTGGAAATTTTTCATGATCATTACTTTAGTTTGCAATAATAGATCCAGCCCTGAAGCGGAAAAGCAGCATTTATACACTGTGCCAAAACTATATTTGTAAGGTCATTCGGTTTATATATATTTGATAATGATAGAGAGAAAAACAATCCTTTATGTTCATTCTTCATGATATGTAACTGTTGCTAAGACCAAGTTTCTCATTTGGTGAATCAAAAATGATAGGTTTTATAGATATTTTAATTATTACATATACTAGACTTCATTTTCTTGCATGAAATATTCCCAAGCACTCAAATCAAAGCAAAATTAAACTATAATAGCAATATTGTAGAATGTCTACAATAGTAAGAGAATCACTCTTCATATTTCTAGATTATTTTGTTGTATATTTCCCAAAGTAGAACATTTTCATAAGAAGTACATGATGGTGTAGTTTATATTCATGCATAAATGAGCCACTCAAACTAAAAAGGTCTGAAAGGAAAACAAAACAGAAAAAGCTAAAATCGAACTAAAGTTATGTAAAGAGGACGAAATGAAAGGCTCAAAAGTATAATCTGTTTGAAGCAGCTCAGTTTGCTTCAAATTAAATTCTTTTAGACCTGTCAGAATACAAGAAAGAAAAAAATGAAGGTAAATCTGGGTAAATAAATGTAGAAGAATTCCCCAGAGAAGCACTAAGCCCTTATTAGCTCTAATACAGTGTAATGATTCCTGAAGGGGTTATATTTTATTTGGTAAGCAATCCCTCACTCCATGAAACCATGTCTGAATTTTACAGCATAAACAACTAAATGTGGAATATGTTTGCAGTTATTCACTTCAGGATGCTACTAATAATAACCTTTTAAAAATCTTTAACCACTATGAGATATGGAAAATCATATGAAAGGAAAAAAAATGCAGATATTAGAGAAGTTCTTTATTTTTTTCCTCTCTTTTAGGCTACAATACTTTCAAATATCAGACCCATGCTATGCCTTCAGCAAAATTTCCAGTGGTCAAAACAAAATCTTAAGAACTATGCCTAACAAAAGACATATATAATCTGTTCACATTTGTGGTTGTCAAAGGAATATACCTTATGACATGAATACAGCTTGGTAGAAATATACTTTTATACTTGGTATATATACTTTTACTCACAAAAATATCCTGTCGGTCTAATTCCAATTCTCAGCTTCTATTACTGATTACATAATGGTAATTACAGATCTTCAGGGCCATTTGTGCAGTTTCAGTTAATATATAAAATATGTGAAAATGGCATCCATAGGAGATAGTTCAGGTAGGGGGCAAGTAACAATACGCATTATGACCTCAAAATGAAGCTGGCTCTCATTTAGTTGGGCAGAGCTTACAATGTAATGTTATAACACATACTTCAACACTTCAGTTTTGATAAAGATTAATTGGACCAAATCTAAAATTAATAATTTTGCCAGATCCATTTTGAGCTGCTCTTACTCAAAACATAATGATAACAGCAACTGTTCACAACCACTATGAAATTCAATATAATAATTCATTATTTATGCCATATATAATGCATAATAAATCTGGCCTTCAGGGTATCTAATATTGAATTTGTTTGATACTAAAACACTGAGATACAACACAAATAATTTTATAAGTGCAAAATAGCAGTTAGATAATTCAACCATAAACAAATTCATTACTTATCAGATTAAAAAAAACAGAATCACAAGGGGAGCTGTTAAAAATTCAAAACATATTTTAATTGTCCCAAGTTAGAGAAAGTAACATCCAACAAACATATAATTTTCAAAATACACATTAAAAATATCCTCATATGTATCTTCCAGCTGCCCTTTGAAAGATGCTGACTACTTACAATACTTAAAGTACAATTAAAAAATAGCTTCATGTGGAATGCAGCAGTCTTTCTCAAATTAGAAAGATTCCAGAAGCTGTTGAAAACAACTGCAAATTGAAATAAATTAAGTTCATAGTAAAGAATATTAGAGACTATTCTAGTCCGCATGTTGTTCTAATTAGCAGATTTCCATGGATAGACCCTTGTAGACCATAATGGAAAGGCCTGAGAGTAGCATATTTAGGTTGTGAATATTCCCTGTTCAGGTTATGCATATGTTTTATAACACCTTAGAAGGTATTACAGATCCATACTGATTTGCAGAATGAAATACACAAAGTAAAATGATTTTAAATCATCAGAATCAGGTCTCCATTTGAAATGCACTCAACTTTTATCCAAATTAAAAGTTGTGAGCCCACCACTTACTACTTTTAAAGTCAGTTTTCAAATAGCCTTCACAGAGATTCTGTTTAAAAGACAGTTGAAATATTTATAGCTCACTTGTACCACATAAAATCCAACAGAACACTGAGGCAGTTTGAGTGTTTGTGCTGTGGGTAAAATGTCATCCTCTTCAAAATAAAAACGAAATAGTCTGAGTAAACACTGAACTGTTCTAAAGTGAATCATATTAGTTTACATTTTGATTGGTTTACTGATTGATTGGTTGATTGTGTTATCTAGCATAGTATATTCATTAAAAATGTAAGCTACTAGACATTTATCTCATGTAAGGGAGTTTGGAAGAGGCAGTTATAATAGCTCTAGAGCAGGGTGTCCAACTGGCAGCCAGATGCATCACATGCAGGCCATGCCCACCCCAACTCTGTGAATGGGAAAAACGTCAAATGACAGCAATGTTTTGTGGCAAGTTTGACACCCATGCTGTAGAGGGTAAGAAGCAACTTCAAAAATAAGGAGGTTGTGTTTTAATAATAATAATAAGTACTTTTTATATAGTTTGTTCCTTCCATTTGCAGATCTCAGGAATCTTAAAAATAAGTATTTCTTTAATTTTAGAACTTTTCTTATATGTGGGTACATTGTACTTATTTTTTTGTGTAGCCTATGACTAAAATTACTTTGATTGTATTTTGCTTTCGCCAGCCTATTGATTTTGAGAGCAGTAGGAAGTTTGTACTGACCGTAGCTGCAGAAAACCAAGTGCCTTTGGCAAAAGGAATACAGCATCCTCCTCAGTCAACAGCCACCATATCCATTACAGTTATTGATGTGAATGAAAGTCCAACTTTTGTCCCAGTCACAAAGCTTATACGTCAGGAGGAAGGCATTCTTCCTGGGGCTGTGTTAACATCGTTCACAGCTCAGGATCCAGATCGTTACATGCAACAGACTACTTTAAGGTAACACATAATTGCCTTCACCATTTGTTTGCCTATAAATAAATGATACTCTCCTTTGTTTTGTTTTGCATGCAGGAATAATTTGAAGGTTGTTTAAAACTGTTCTTCATCTAAATCTCTATGATTTTACAGATACATTTTATGCATCTGCACATGCAGTGTTCTAGAAATTAAAATTATCTAGTGCAAGCAATAACTTCATGTCTACCACGTTAACACAGCTTTGCCTGAATACTTTCAATTTCTCTTTGACTGAAATAGAATTAATATTTTTATCCTCAAACTGATCATTCTTCTGGTTTATCAAAAAAAAAAAAATCTACTCTTCCCAAATTCTACCTGTCTGTGTTTTGTACTAACTGAGTGGGTTTCTGCAACTGCCATTCTCTAATTCTCAAAATTCTTATTTTCCCCACAGCGTTCCTTCAGGGTAACTTCATATCAGAGTTCCAATCTGTCATGGTCTGTTTCCCTAAATTCACCTTCTTGCCCTTAGTCATTTAGACCCACATTTACTGAGCTCTCTTGCCAGTTGTTCTGGAGAACTGTGTGCAGTATAAAAATAGCTTCCTTTCCTCACTTTTCATAGGGACAAAATAATATTAAACCCAGTCATTTCCTTTCATTCCATCAAATGGCCTTCCATTTGAATTGAGAAATTGTCATTGTCCAACACTGGTCTAGATCAGTTTTCCTAGTGTGTAATGCAGCCTTTGAAAAAATCACCCTGCCTTTCGTCACCAGACCCTCATTCATTAACCTGTTTGTCTGTCTTCCTACACTACTTTGTAGCCTAGATTTTAGTTCCCTGTCTGTACCAAGTATCTGATTAAAGTGTTTTTCATTGAATTGGTCTGGTTTAAATTTTAAGGATTTCCAAATGTTACTTGCAGAATAGAATTCCCAAAGCAAGTAAAAATTTTATTTCTTTTTAAATGATTCTTGTTTAGAATTGAATTAAGACTGATGAAGACATTCCACTTTTCAAGTAATTTAATGAGACTACAGCCAGTCATGCACTTTTTAATCATTGAGGCTTACTTTTCATCAGTGATGTAATTTGAATTTTGAATGGTTATATAATGTTTACATAACAATCCTTTTAAATACTATACAACTTTAAGCCATTGTGTATGTCTAGGGATATCAAAAAATATTATGTAACTTTGGGTAATATATAGCAAATATATAAATATGAAAAATTATTCAATAATACAAATTAATTTGCTTGTATAAATATTTTCTCCAGATAGCACCTTTTGCAAAAAAAAACAGAGTTTCTCAGATACAATTTGTTTTCTGTGTGACCTTCTTGCTGATTAATTGTTTGATGCATCTAATGTTAATATAGTGTTTTATATTTAAAATTTTTCCAGATATTCAGAACTTTCAGATCCAGCCAATTGGTTGAAGATTGATCCAATTAATGGTCAAATAACAACAACTAGTATTCTGGACAGAGAATCACCACATGTGAAAAATAATATGTATAATGCTACTTTCCTTGCCATCGACAGTGGTATGTGATGTGTATTTTTGTGTGCCATGAATATCATCAGCAAAACAAGGATATGAAATACTGGTATAAATGCTGTGTTATAATACAATAAAGTATAAGTGAAATTCTCTGGATATAGGTATCGTTATAGAGATATTAGTACATGAAAAGGAGTTATTTACTACTCTGTGACACCAATACTATTAATAATTGGAAAGTTGAGAGCTAAGGGCCAGGATATCCTGGCACTGTCCATTGGCCTGGAAACCAAGGACTGCTGAAGTTGGATTTTTCCCATCAAGAAAAAAAAAGTGTGACTAAGAGAGAATCAGCACATATCCATGCAGTGGTGGGATTTAAATTTTTTTACTGATATGACACAGCCTTTTTTTCAGTAGAGGAAGCAAGAAAGTGAACCATGGTGGGATTCAATTTTTTTTTACTACCAGTTCTGTGGGCTGGGCTTGGTGGTCATGGCGTGGCTTAGTGGGTGTGGCAGGGGAAGGATACTGTAAAATCTCCATTCTCACCCCACTCCAGGGGAAGGTTACTGCAAAATCCCATTCCCTCCCCACCCAGCTAATCTGCTTTCCAGCTCCGTTCTCCTGTGCAGGGCAAAAAAAGAAGACCCAGCCGATCAGCTGTGACTTGGGAGGCAAAAAATAGATGGGGGCAGGGCCAATCAGAGGTGGTATTTGCCAGTTCTCCGAACTACTCAAAATTTCCGGTACCTGTTCTCCAGAACCAGTCAGAACCTGCTGAATACCACCTCTGTACCCATGTGTTTGTTAGGAAAGATGCTGCTGCTACAGTCTTGATTTTAATTCAATTCTTAGATCATGAACTTGAAAATAAGCACTGAATTTCTTTTGATTCATTGTAACTAATTTACAAATAGGTTAAACCAACTTAATTTACTCCTAACCCACTACCAAAATGCTATTTTCATGTGTAAAGTCTCCCTATGAAATTTTTGATTTTTAGTATTATGTTCTTTCCCATTGTCTGTCTCCTGTGTTTATATTATTTATCTAGGAGGATATGATTTCTATTGTTAAGGTTATCAAATAACCATCATAATTTTATGCTTAATATCAAGGACCTGTACTTTGGGAAACCTCATTCAGTTTAGTTTTACCTCATTAGAATTTAGATATTCTAGAACATTTGGCAAACCCCTGAGTCATTTTTGTGAGGAAATTTTAAGTATAAAACAGAAAATATTCTTGACTAAGGAAAAAATTTTAAGTAAAGGTGAAGAATTCGTAAATATTATATCATGCAACAGTGATGAGATTTCAAAGACCTGGAATCCTTAAAAAGAACTGTACAGTAGTTTCTT